ACCCTTCTTAATTCGTAATTTTCACGGCCAGCGTACACTCACCCCCACACATATACACATCCACACAGTAGACGTAAATCAACACCCTCTATCGTTAGCTTCGATGTTTCCCCACGGGTGAATAAACGCGGCGCTCCTACCGCATTGCGGAAGAATTATGGAATTAAGATTCCTCCGGGGAGGAAGGAGTCGGAGGGAAGGCGACCGGCCTCCTCCCGGAAGGCGCGGAAAACGCAGCCAACGCGAATCTCCGGAGAGCCAAAGAGGCCGGATTTCCGGATCGGAAAAGTCGAGCCGATCCCGCTCGGCTTGCACGAGAAAAGCTCCATTGAGGGCCGAGGAGGTCATGGAAATTTGTTTTCGGCCGTGCTTCCGGCCGTCCGGTTGCGGGGAAAAAAAAACATTCGCGTTTAGCGCCGACATAAGGATTTTCCGGCGCGAGCCTGGAAAAGGTGGGATAAAAGAAAATCTCGAGCAACGAGATTATTCCCACAAAGACGAAGCCCGCCAATCCGGCGCGGAAAATTTTGAATGGCTTGGGGGGGAGTCGGGGGTGAATGACTAGGGGGTGGAAAATTCATTGGAAAATGCGAGAGAGCAAGCCGAGTAATTCCTCCCGCGAGGCGGATATCGCGGCGGAAAATCTTGCCTCGGAAAAATCGAGTCAAAAGGCTCTCATTAAATTCCTGCGCATCCCCTGAGTGGACGCGCCATTCTTCCGGCAGGGCCGGAAGTGCGCATTGAGTGCGCAGGGGGTCGCACGTCTCTTGCGCAAATTCGTCTTTAAGACTCCCTCTCGAGATTCGATGCGTCTCCGGGAAAAGGAGGCGTCCGGAATGAAAACGGCGCCCCTCCAACGCGGAATGGGGGGCGGGAGAAAGAATACGCGAAATGAAAACGAGCATTCCTCGACAAACGACGAGGCGCTTCCGGGGAGGCCACTTCAACTACCCTTAATGGAAAGCAGCCCTGGAGGAACGTCATTGAAAGCACTTTTCACCCCTAATGACGGCGATCCGAAAAAGCCCACCCCTCTCAATCCGAATTTCCCTTCCCTTCGAGCATCCCTTTAAGATGCGTTCATCCTACTGTCAAGTTTCAGATTAGAGTTCCAGATCAAGAAAAAAAAAATGAAAATGAAAATACGAGGGTTCAATCCCTTGGACAGAATTGCAATGCTAATATTGCATGCAAATTTATGTGGGGTCTTCGGCATGCTCGCGTACTCGCATCTCCGATTTTCATTACATTCGAATGATGTACAATGAAAACAGAGACTAAGTCAAAAAAGACGAGAAATCGCCATTCTTTAAAAGAGGAGCGTCGCTTCTCTGTACTCGCGAGCTTCCTGCAAGCTCGAGGGAGGCTCGAGGTCGCGACTTCGGGGGGACAGCCGCGGGAATAAATCATTTCCCTTTTTCTCCACCCGCGGAGCTTTTAACGAGCTCGTAAACCGCGCGTGCGTGCCCGTGTCGAGCTTGCGGAGAGAGCTTACGAGCGACGCCGGAGAGTGCGTCTATCGGGTTTATTCGAGTGCTTCGAGCTTTCCAGCGAGAAGCGAAGCGGACTCTTTCGGGACGCAATGGAAAGCAGCTTCCTCCATCCTTCTACCTACCCCAAAAATATTCGTTTGCAAAAATAATTGCACATTTTACAAATGATCGATACTTAACTCTTAAGGTGAAGTGAAACACGTTGAGGAACTTGATCAACGTCGATAAAGAAAATTTTTCTAAATGCCTACGTTGCCGACGTTCGTTTTTATATTGACAGCTGGGTCGAATTATATTGGGTATTGTACCAAATGGCATATTCCACCTGTCGTTTTCGTACAATAATTATAAAGAAATCGAAGTAAAACTCCAGAAATCCTCTGGATTCGTGCTTTCTGGGGCCCTAATTGACTGCGGAGGGACCTCCTGCGCCATCTGTGATTTCCAGGTCAATTAAATTTTCACTCCGAGACCTCGTATTACCATCGTTTTAGCAAAAAGCGCATACAACACTTTTTTTGCTTTTATCCCGTTCAAATGCGAGTTTATAGATTACCAGAGTGTTCTAAATTATCGTAAAATTGTCCTGACCCTTTCGATTCTCATATCAGAGCCTTCGATAATTGTATATTGATCAAAATATGAGAGCTCGACGCCATTTTGGTTCTGGTCTGGAATGAGTTAAAAAATTTTTGTGAAAAATCCAAATTTTGAATGTGTCAGGACAATTCTTAGATGATCAGGAGCGATGTGTCAAAGTTTCGGACAGTTTGGTCTATACCCTTAAAAAAAAGTGTTGTATTCGAATCGACTGATTTGAAGGATGTTTCACTTCACCTTCAGTGATATGAGGTCCTGTAGACCCTGCGATACGTGAAATCCTTATGGCTTACAATTTAACGATGTCATTAAGGTGCTATGAAAGTGATATCAAAGAGGTCTCGTCTGTGAAACTTTTCTCCGAACCGAGGGTATCGAGTGTTGCAAAAATAATTGCACATTTTACATATGATCGATACTTAACTCTTAAGTGATATGAGGTCCTGCGGATCCCGCGATACGTGAAATCCTTATGGCCTACAGTTTAACGATGTCATTAAGGTGTTATGAAAGTGATATCAAAGAGGTCTCGTCTGTGAAACTTTTCTCCGAACGGAGGGTATCGAGTGTTGCAAAAATAATTGCACATTTTACATATGATCGATACTTAACTCTTAAGTGATATGAGGTCCTGCGGACCCCGCGATACGTGAAATCCTTATGGCCTACAATTTAACGATGTCATTAAGGTGCTATGAAAGTGATATCAAAGAGGTCTCGTCTGTGAAACTTTTCTCCGAACCGAGGGTATCGAGTCGTTTAGAACTTTACAACGTGATTATGGAGGCTATCAGGAAGGTCCTGACACCCTGTGGTGGGAAAGTAATAGTTGACTTAATTGAACAATAGCAGTCCTTTATCTAGGCGATGGGCAGCCGAATTCTCCACTGGGCTCGGGGTGCAACGAGGTCTTGTCGAACTTTAACGAGTTTGGATTTGATTCAGTCGAATACTGGAGTAGAATAGAGTATGACGTGTGTCCTCGATGACGATCAGAGAGAAAATAGGACCTCTCTTCTCGAGTTGAGCCCGAGGTCCTGGAAATTCGGGAAGGGAGGGACGAAATGTAAAGAGCGGAACTTTCGATAAGAGTCGAAACGTTCTTAGCTTCAATTAGAATACTCTCGTTACAGACCTCGTGGTCACACATTCTTCAGCCGCAAGGAGTGCGGGAAATCGGCTTAGGGGATACTCGTGGACGAACGGGGCGAATCTTGTTAAAAATGACGTCGATTTCTCCGCGGCGGAAAGCGCCTCCGGTTCTCTGGTGGCTTCGGGGAATAAAAAGGAGCCGGCGAGACAGGGGCTGTTTCTCTTTCCGACCGTCCGGGTGTCCCTTGCTCCTTTTTCGCAGAAATACCGCGACGAGAAAAATACCACCCTCGGCCCTCGAGTGGAGCTCCTTGGCGGAGGAGGACGCGGAAATACGTCACCGTGGCCGAGGGCTTCTTTCGAGGTGCCCTGCATTTCCATATCCTTAGAAAACGTCGGGCCAGTCTCCGACTCCAGCAGGACGCGGCGAAAAAGGACCTCGCGAAAGAAGATCAAGGAACTTCCCGAAGCTTTCATCATTCTTCTTAATTAATCTCGACATTCGTCCTGGAACCATTTCCTTATTTCATTATTATATCATTGTATTATATTAACCCCTAGGGTGAACACCTTCGCAGCAAACTGATTAAACTTTAAGGTCGCACAGTCGGATTTGCAAAAAAAAAAAATTATGTATTCGATAAACGTGGGTACTTCCCGCTCAAAATTATTGAAGTTAGAATAACATTTCTTGTGTAAAAATCCGTGTGCACCCCGAGGGTTTTGTCATTATTTTATTTCTTTATTTCATTGTTTTATTCGTTTATTTTATTATTTCATTATTTTATTATTATTTAATCTCCTCGAGTACACGCAACGTGGAGGGACCTTGCTCTTTCCAGATCGATATCCAGAAGTCCTTGTACCCGGGCGAGCTTTAACATTTCTAAGGTCCACGTTGTGCTTTTTGTGCCCGGTGGCTAGATGGGTGTTCCCTCTCGAGTGCTCCAGCACATCGGAATAAATTAAATCAAAATGCAAATCATTTTGGATTTCGTCACAAGAGGGGGAGGACTGGGCGGTGGGAAGCCCGGAGGAAAAAGTCCTCCCGGAAGGAAAAGGATTTCCCGGGCAAAATTCGGCCGCCCACCAGGCGGGAATAAAACTCGAAACGTCCATCCGAAATATGCGGAATACAAATTCGGCCTCCCATTCTCCACCCCATATTCCGTTGAATTTCTCTTTATCATAGAAACGATGGTCAAACCTGGCAAGGTCTGGGTTCTTCTCCAGGATGAACCTTTAAGGGGGTCGCAAAGTTTTCGGAAGATTCGCGATCTCTTTCTCATTTTTCGTAAAGAATTACCCATTTCATCATAAGCGCAAAATACATCGACATACTTTTTTTCCGACATAAAGGCCGTCACACATATTTCTTACAATAACACCCATAATCAATGCATCAAGAACCAGCCAATAAAATTAAGGAACGTAAGTCGGCCTTTTAAAATACATAAGCTTCCGAAAAACTCCATAAGCTTGAGATTGTTATGGGTGATATCCGCCCTACAGTGTTTTTTATTAATTATAAACCATTGATATCATAAACTCATAATTTGCTTTCCCTTGCTTCCCGCAACGCGTTTTTGGGTGTGTATAAATTGTCGGTCCTACGTAAAACCGTAATAACAACGTTAACAGTAATTTCATCCGAGGTATGTAAATATGAATTCCTCAATTGAACGAAAAGTAAAGATGAGAATACATTAATCAGCTCCCACGAAAATACCAAAGCCAAGTTTAGAGTCGATTTCCTGGGATAGGTCAGTTCCTCCCCAGGAGCTTAATGCGAATTAGATGGTCCATGGTACTCACCCTGCAAAAGCTCGTGATGGACGAGATCTGAAACAGAAGAGAACGGAGTCATCATTCATGATTCATCGGAGTTAAAAAGAGGAGAGAAAAGTACACCTTGAAGGGTAGCCGAGGAAAATCAGAGAGGAAAAGAAAAAGAACTAGAGAGAGAGAGAGAAATGGGAAACCTAATCGAAGCCGAGATTCCGCGGTCGTGGAATCGCGGTTCGGCCTGCAGATGCGTGCGAAATTATCAATTAACCGTTCTAATTAAAATATAATTCACGCCTCGACAGCCGGACCGCGGTCGAACGACCGTCGCGAAACGCAAGGCGTTACTTCAATTAGTCACCGGCCTTAATTAACAAGTGCAGCCCGAGGCGTCGTTACGCCTCTAACCGTGGACGCTTAATTAGTCCGGAGCTTCGGTTACTAATTAAGAGTCGCGATTCCCCCCTCCACCCCCGGCGGAGGAACACGCGTCCCCTTTGCCGACGACTCGCGAGCCATCACCGTTTCCCTCGCAGTTCGCGCGCGCGAATCAAAGGGCGATAAGGGGAGAAAGAGGGAGAGAGAAAGAGCGACAGAGGGGAAGGAGAGACGAAACGCGGAGATAGGGAGGAGACGCGTGCTTTTAAGGATCGCTTTTGAAGCCTTGGAGGGTCTTTAGATCGGCCCCCCTCTCTCCCTTATCCCGGGATCGCTCCCTCTCGCTCGGTGCGAGTTATACGAGCTTTCGCCGAGCTTTTCCGCGCCCCTCTCGCGAGGAAATAAGAGGACCTCGTTCTCGGCCGTGTCAATTATAAGTGATTTACATCGCCCCCCGCGGGAGCGGCTTTATGGATCGGCGCCGCGACGTCGCCGGCCCTCCCCTTTCTCGTCCCTTCGCCCGTTTAAAGAACTAATTAAGGCGCGAGGATCCTCGAGGCGACGTTAAAGGAGCGCGCATAAAAATATCCTACTTTCGCGAGTCCTGCTCCGCCCCTGGTTTTAATATCCACCTGCCTCTTCAGGGCGACCCGGCTTGGCGCCAGGGGAAAGCGCCGCCGGCCGATCTAACGGAATGCGCCGCGCCGATTGGTCGATCCAGCGGAACGCGCCGCGTCAATTGGCGGGATCCTCCCCCGGCGTGATGGCTGGGATGCGTTCGACCCTAATTCCCCGACGGGACAGCAGCCTATTGTTTACCGGCGATGGGGTATCCGCCTAATTGGCCGCGGGCTTAAACCGTGATCGGCCAATCCGCGAAAATGGCCGGAGGCCGATCCTTATCGAGCGACGTCCACCCTCGTTGGCTCGCAACGGCCATGTCTCCCTGATCTACGGGGACGTAAATTCCTTCACCCTATTTAAATAATGCCCCGATCGATCCGCTCTCTCGATCGGTCGATAGGGATCCATTCTTAAGGTGAAGTGAAACACGTCGAGGAACTTGATCAACGTCGATAAAGACGATTTTTCTAAATGCCTACGTTGCCGACGTTCGTTTTTATATTGACAGCTGTGTCGAATTATATTGGGTATTGTACCAAATGGCATATTCCACCTGTCGTTTTCGTACAATAATTATGAAGAAATCGAAGTAAAACTCCAGAAATCCTCTGGATTCATGCCTTCTGGGCCCTAATTGACTGCGGAGGGACCCCCTGCGCCATCTGTGATTTCCAGGTCAATTAAATTTTCACTCCGAGACCTCGTATTACCATCGTTTTAGCAAAGAAGCGCATACAACACTTTTTTTGCCTTTATCCCGTTCAAATGCGAGTTTATCGATTACCAGAGTGTTCTAAATTGTCGTAAAATTGTCCTGACCCTTTCGATTCTCATATCAGAGCCTTCGATAATTGTATATTGATCGAAATATGAGAGCTCGACGCCATTTTGGTTCTGGTCTGGACTGAGTTAAAAAATTTTGTTGGAAGATCCAAATTTTTAATGTGTCAGGACAATTCTTAGCTGATCAGGAGTGACGTCTCAAAGTTTCGGACAATTTGGCCTAATACCCTTAAAAAAAAGTGTTGTATTCGAATCGACTGATTTGAAGGATGTTTCCCTTCACCTTAACGCTGTCCGGTCCTTAGTTACGCCCTGAGAAAAAAAAATTCACTTTGAATAGTGCCGATGAAATTGTTAATTGAAAGAATCATTGGACTCGAATAAAATGAAATAAATCCTCGGAATGACGAAAAAATGTTATATGAAATTTATTCCAGTTTGGTCGGGTCAAATGATTATTCTTTTAATTGATAAAACATTTCAACGAGGAAATCGGCACTTCTTGATTCATTCGTGATAACGCGCCGTCTGAAGGGAAGGACTCTAGGGGGCGGCGCACCCAATGCGCCATTAATTTTTTCCCCATTTTTAGCCGGGTCCCTTGGGATTCGAGGACCGGCGTTTAGGGGAACGAGAGACGGAGAGATGGAAAAACGGAAACCGCCCCGCTCGTTAGTCGGCGGAATAAACGGAGACACGGCTTCCAGGATCTCGTGGCGAGAATCGAACGGACGCATTAAGGGAGCCGGCGACCGGAAGTAACCGCTCGGTGGGGGGCGTCTCGGCGCCTCCTTTGCGTCCCGTGGCGCGATATCTCCCGCGGGATAAACGGGCCGGTCGCGGCCGTAAATCAAGATTTCAATTCGTTCCCGGCGCCCGGCAGGACGCGGCCTTAACCGGCGGTGACTTATGCGTCGATAGCGCGAGGACCCGGGTAATCCTCGGCCTGCTCCCCTCTCCGAGGGTCCTCGTCGGAGGGTTCGCCGGTGATCCTTTAAACGCGACGCCAGGGATATTGGATAATTGAATATCAGGAACAGATCCCGCGCGACCTTCGGTCCGGATTATTTCATCAAAGGAAATCGACCCGAGAGCCCGTGGACGCGTTAATTAGTTATTTTATTTTTTATCTGTAACCAGAGAGTACAGCTACAGCATACAGATGCAGTACTGTGCCGCAAGGGGGGATGATGCATTTCTTTGCAACGGGAGCGAAGTGCGTACCCTCTCGCATTATTGTATGTAGTGGAAAGGGTTGGAGCTTTCTCAGGTGATCCTTTAAGACGGATGCGAGGGACATTGGATAATTAAAGCTTGGTCTCGACTGTTTCGTTAATCGAAATTAACCCGAGTGCCGTCAGATTCGCTTTTTTATCCCCTATTTTCTGAGGCCCCGAAGTGCATTCGCAGCGTCTAGACGCCCCTCTCCTGCGCACAGGTGAAGGGCTGATACCCTTAGACCAGGCGCGAAGTGTTTCCCCTCTCAGCCCTGTATAATATACCCTATCCACGAGGGAAGAGACTTCTCGCCGCCCCTCTGTGAAAGACACTCGTATTCATCCCCACACGAGTGCACTGGCTTGCATGCACCTGTGTGCACCCCACACGCGAGGGCGAGCCACTTGTTGTACGGCCGATGGGGAGGATCTGCCCGCGAGGTGCATTTTATGCCTGCACCCGTGACGCACATTATGTGGAGACATGCACGGGGCTGCGTATGCACCCTTGGCCGGGGTTGCATCGGTGTGTGTGCACCCTAGGTGGAGACGACAGGGTGGCACTCCTACGCGCACGACCCCGGAGATAAAACCTCAGGCAGTGATACCCGATTTCCCCTGAAATTGACAGAGTTCTTCCGGTGGACTTAACCCTTTTCTACGGGATGTCTAAGAGAAAGGGGGTCACTCTATCTACATATATCAAAACGTCAAAATATTTATAAATCTTTTCTTCAAAATGGGTGCACCGACAATTTGAAAAACGTTAACATATAATTATGGAGGTCCTGATACGGGTCGTTCGCGTGAAATTTCATTTTGGCGTAAAATAAATGTTTTCCCTTTAAGGCGGGGGATTTTCCTTTCTTTTTCCTTTAAGCTCCTCGCGAGCTTGCGATAAATTTCACGGTCGAGACACGTCGGCGCGCATGCAAAAGCTCCACCCTTTGAGGGCGCACATGCGTCATGTTCGCGGCTCCTTAAGGTCGTAAATACCCAAGTTAACCCTCGAAAGCCAGAGGGGACAGGAGCTTTCCGGCGTAAGTCACGCACTTCGTCGGACGTGAGCTCGCCCTACGTGACGCGACGTCCCGACGTGGCGTGAGCCTCGCGTCCCGTGGAAGCAGAGAAACGGGGTGGAGAATTGAATCGCGAAGCAGCCTTTTCTCTTTCGAGGGTCGAGCTGATTTTTGAGACCCTTAAGGTCGCAATCATCCCTCTGACTCTTGGGGGATGATTATATAGAACCAAACGGACGGGCCACTTCCGACTTGGCCACGCACCCCTTCTCACGCGAGTTCACCCGCTGCACGATGTGCATTACACAACGTCTGCTGCACGATATGCAGTACACGATGCACCGAGAAAAAAGCTCCCTTTACCATAAGATAATGATTTCCTTAAACCAGGCTCGTTTTCATCAAACAAGGTTTCGGTAGACTATTATACAATGAGATACGATAATAATCTGGAAATTTCATTAAAATTTTAATATGTCTTAATTGCGATTAATGGCTTGGAATGTGTTGCGGATGTTCGAAAGAAAGTCTGAACGCGGGCTATACTGGATGTGAGAGCCAAATTTGATTACTGATTAATTCTCGACGAAATCTCGAGTCAGGTCGGTTTTATGAGTTCGGGCACACGACTTGAATTCGTAACAGAAACAGTTTATTAACAATAACAAGTAAGTCCGATAACAAATGTAAAATATAAAACTATGAACGGCGGCGATCGCACGGTACAAGTTTGCGGTTGACTATTTGGAGTCGCGGTGAGACTTGATTGTCTCTGAGAGCAGGAGATGTCCGTCTCTCGCGGTGGAAGATTTGATTCTGAAGATGCCCAGAGGAACTTTGGTCCAGAGCGATTTCGGATGCTGTCCTCTAGGGCGGAGTTTTTTACAAAGCGTTTACTGATAGGCGTAGAGAAATTAGAGTGGGATCGATAATCGGAAGTGATTGGTTAATGAGGACTGAGAAGGGGAAAAGTTAATGTTGTTTAAGGAGGATTAGGTGGGGAATAACAAAAATGGGCTATAGGACTAGAAGTAAA